TGAGAATAATTATAATAAAACTTGCTTTTCTATTCATTGATGAAAAACAAAAATTATAAGGCCATTGGGGAGAAGAGAGAGATGTCATGAAACTGTAGATAATTGGCAACTAAAATTTCGTCACTAACAACTATATAATGGACTGACACACACCCAAATAAGTAAGCTCGTCCTAAAGAATAATTTAGCAGAATGAAAACCTAAGACAATAGAAAACCAAATTAGTCAGGCTCACAAATCTTTATCGTTGAAAAAATCAACACATGATAAATCTCTATCATTGAAAAATTCACACAAATTAGATAGCACATGTATATGAAGAATTTAGCAGAAGGAAAACCAAAGTCAACAGGGAAATCATATTAGCTAAGCAAAGAAATCTTCACCATTGAAAAAAGTCCACAAAAATGAGAAATCTCTGTTACTGAAAAAATTCACACAATAATGAAATTTACAGCACATATATTACAGCAATCCAATCTCTACAATGCTATAACTTTTCAAATTTGAAAATATTAACATCAATAGATTACCGAGATAGATACTTAGAATCATATGTCCCATAAACAACATCGTAGTGTCCATCATAAGAATCTACAAGTTCCAAGTCGCATATCAATGTATCCCACCTGCAAAAGTAATCATACAAGAGAATAATTTCCTTAATATGATATCAAGACACTTAAGCACCTTCTATAGGAAACTTACTCATATCTTTTCTGTTGGTCAGTGTTCAAAATAACTTCAAAAACAGTATCTGCAGTTGCATCAATCACACCAACAGACTTTGCAAGGACAGTCTTACCATTCTACAAAGCACCAAAAATGGCAAATCAGAAATCAGACTTATTTATCTGCCCTGTCATAGGGAACCAAAGCACCAATCTCAGATGTTGTAAATATAACATAAAATAGGAACGAAGCAACACAAGGAGCATATGATAACATTTTACATATTAACAAAACTAGTGAATCAGTCAACGAGATGACTCATTAGCATAAAAAGAAAAAGTTCTGAAGATGTATAAGGTATTTATTGAGAGAACTTTTTTATTAATGATAGCCATTTAGGTTATCATATAAAGGACAGCATTGCACATAAAGGTGTCTTTTAAACTTTTATCAATAGAACAAAAATATAAAACCAACCTTCTGAAAATATAATGGCATTACTCATACAGATCCGAGCAGATACTAGTATACCACTACCCAGAACCTCTCAATGTAAGACACAAATTCATAATAGGAAGAACACAGACAAACTATTCCAAAAGCAAAAAAAATGGAGTCTCAAAATAAATAAATAACACTTTTTGCCATAAGCAATATCCATATATTCCTTTTATTTATTTATGAGGTCTATTTGATTTTGTAAAATGAGTTAATAAAGTTGTTCCTGATAACTAGAAATCAATGTTGAACCTATAAGCAACGGATGCAGGTAGACACACACCCATGCACTAATTGTATTAAACAAGGCTAGTATACAGTAGCTTCAATTTATCCCAAGCCTTTTTTGCTGTGCTGCTAGCTCTGAATTGTTGGTATTTTCAGTTAGTCATTAGTTTCTATTAGAGATTGTCAAGTCTGTGATAACACAACAGTAACAAATAGTAATTGATTCTGTTTTATCAGTTACCCTTTCTTTCCTATATATATATATATATATATATATATATATATGCTTTCTTATATCACATTGAATTTTTAATGAGATCTTTAATTGATTAGCCTTTTGTGTTAGTGGTTTCATTTATTTCAAAATTAAAAGAAGAATTAGTGGAGGAGAGCAGGTAAGAAACTTCAACTTTTAGGAACAAGTGGTGGGTTGAAATTAACGGTTAAGATTAAACGATGCATTATAAGGAGGAGCAACAACTATTAATTTAATAAATAATGCAATATTAAGATTACAAGGGACATAGTCAAATACGATATCCTGGTCATTCCCTCCACTACTAAAATTTGATCAACTAGTTGAAAATTTTAAGCCATTAACTTTTGATTCAATTCATTTAATTCTTCAAATTGACTTGTTAAAGATCACTAGTGTAATAAGAGAATATGATTATAATTATTTTCAATATTAAACCACGATTAATGAATTAATCATAGTATATCTATACATAGTAAAAAAAAGGTAAATTATAAAGACGAAGACGTTATACTCTAACATGTTAATAAGTCAATAAATATTTACCACAAAAATGGTCATATTTAATAAAAATCAAGATGAAAGACGTTACAATATTGATTAGTCATGGAAGATTTATTACAAAGAAATTCATTTTTCATAATCTAATCCAAAAACTAAGAATTTTCTCTTAATGCAAAACTAATTTTCCAAAGTAATTATATTTGTCTCTTGCCACCTTATATATAAGCACAAAGGTTTAAAAAAATCATAAAACGCATCAAAGAAAGCCTAAAGCCCCAAAACAAAAAATAAAAACTGAAAATGCAATTACAGTGAACTAAAACTTGCCCAGTGAATTTTGAAAGTAAAATTGAAAACACAAGCTCACCCAGTGACAATTTGCTTGTCCAACTAGTTACAAACACTTTTAAAATTTAAAATGATTCTATATTTGAACTTACAAGTTATGATGTTCATATTTCTTTGAATTCAAACTTTATAGGAATCCTTCTCTATTCTTCTTATAATGGATTAAAAGATAGTATTCTATCACATATTCTTTTTTAATTAGAATTTGTTCTCAAATTCGTATTAAGAGATAATTCTCTATCAAGTCATTATACTAACGATAAAAAAACACAACATAATTAGTGTAGTCTCTAAATCAAATTCATTCAAGTGCGAAGATTATTTGTTGTTTGTTTTGAAAATCATTCTCCAGTTTCATAAGGTTGACTCTCTTTTTTGGTTATGTTGACATTTACAGGGATGATAAAGAAGTTTTAGAATTTCAGAATGCTATGAAATGCATACTCTTTGATGGAATAGTTTGAGTTTCTCAAATATAACATACAATTGCCTTTTACTCCATTTTGTGACTATTCTCATTAATAAATACATGTATGTTTTGTTAGCTATGAGATTTTAGGAGACTAAATAAATTTTATAGCCAATATAGTTATTTGTGAAACTTTTTGGCCAATGTAAAGAAAACAACTTATGAGTAGGTTTGTCATTCCAAGAGTTATATTATCAAAATGTTGAATGAGTAAATAATTTATCAAAAAAAAATTAGAAGTTTACGTCTATTAAAATTTTGATTAGAAACTAAAGAAAATTAATATGTTAAAATGGTACAAAAGTAAATTGTAAATCCCAATAATATGTGCCCACGACTCCACGTTCTAATTCGTTGTCTTATATCTTAATTATTTTTTAACAATTAGTATTAAATTCATAATTCTTAGTAGGACCAAAACACACACAACGTGAATTAAATTATTTTTTTATTTCTTTTGTGTTTCATAACATGAACAATTATAAGGTATTTTTGATAAATTAGTTTAATTTTTTTATTATTTATTTTGAAATTTGGTATGTGTTATTATCTCAATATTATGACTTGATTAAATGAGTCCATTCATTTCAAATAAAATTTGAAAAATGTGGCAACAAAAGTAGAATACATTTATTTTACAACTAAACATTGATCAAATCTTCCATACAACATGGTGTGAACAAGAACAAGTGCATGGAACTTTTTAGAGTCATGTCAGGTATCCACTCATTTATTCTGTCATTTTTCACTACTTCACATAATTACCGATACCACCTCCGACCATTTTCACAAGCCATTCAGGCTTTCCACTGAACAGTACAAAAATTCCTAGACCAATTCCAAATATTATTCCACATCCATATCCTATAACAACTGCTTCCCATCCAAATTCAAATCTCTCTTCTCGCCACAAGCTCGGAGAAGATGGAGTTTGTTGTTCAATTTTGTTGCAGTTCTTTGATAATGGGAACCCACATAGTCCCGAGTTTCCAATGTAGGAGTTATTTTCAAAAGTGTTGAACTGTTTTCCTTCAGGTATTTCACCAATAAGATGATTATAGGAAAGATTCAGGACTTCAAGAAAGTTCAAATTGGTTAATTCTATGGGTATCCTATCGATGAACATATTTGAGGAGAGATCCAGTGATTCTAAATTTGTCAAATTTCCAATGGATTGGGGAATAGGACCACTGAGTCTATTATGGGAAAAGTTGAGTGCTTTAAGAGCATGAAGCTCTCCAATTACATATGGAATCTCTCCTTCAAATTTGTTTCTGGATAAATCAATGATTATAAAGCTTTTTGGAATTTTTTTGAATACCATATTTATGGCTTTTGTTGTTACATTTGCAAATTCAATTACAGTTGCAAATTCATAAACAGATGCATTAATTGAAGGTTGCATGTATAGCTCGCCCACTTTGTAACGAATAACATTCTTCGTGGCTTGAAAATTTTGTATAAAGGTTTTTGGTATTGAACCATTGAAGTAGTTGGATGAGATATCAAAAATAAGTAAACTTGAAAATCCATGTTTCATCTTTAAACTTGGAATGGGACCGTACAATTTGTTGGCACGCAATACCAATACTATCAACCTTGGTAGAGTTTGAAGCCATTTAGGAAATTTGTCTTCAATTTGATTGTTGGCAAGATTCAAGATCTCCAATTTTGTGCAATTAGACAAAGATTTTGGCAAAATACCTTCTAATTGGTTGTCATTGAGATTTATAACGCGGAGAGGACCATTCATTGAGAAATAACTTGGTAACGTGCCATTTAGTTTGTTCCTTTGTAAATCCAAAATAGAAAGGGAAGACAAGTTTGCAAGGCATTGTGGAATGACACCTATCAACTTATTGTGAGACAAGAGGAGAACATTAAGTGAACTTACATTACAAATGGAGGAAGAGATGTGGCCAGTGAGTAAATTGAAACTAAGATCAAGAAATTGGAGGTTGTAGTTCCTTGAGAATTGCTTGATTGGAGTTGTCAACAAGTTTTGGGATAGGTTCAAAAAATATAATGAATCCATTTCATGTAACCACTTGGGAACTGTTCCATTCAATTTGTTGTTGGATAGATCAAGGTCTGTCAACATTGGGACTTTTCCTGCCAATTTTGGAAATTCAGTCAAACCTAAAGAAGATAAATACAATCTCTCTAACCTAGGGAAATTGTAATTGATGTTGTGAAAACCACTAAAGTTGTTTGATGATAAACATAATTGGCGAAGATTTACAAGAGTGAAGATTGATTGTGGAATATTGCCCTGCAGCTTGTTGTTGCACAAATACAGAAACTCGAAGGACTGTGACACCATAACACTTATATGTCCTGTGAACTGATTATATGATAGATCTAATTTTAGCAAAGATGGCAAAGATAAACACCAAACAGGAATTGTTTTATTTAGTAAGTTGTCATTGAAGTATAACTCAGTTAGGTTTGAAAGACTCCTTATTTTGTTAGGCACAGGACCCTCCAATCTATTATGTGAAAGATATAAGAAAACGAGATAGTGAAGATTTATAATTGACAATGGAATTTGACCACTCAATTTATTCATTGAAAGATCCAAGAAAACGAGCCATTGGAGATTTGAAAGTGTTGATGGTAGCTCTCCTTCTATATTGTTATGACTCAAATCTAGTTTTTCAAAATTGTTTGCCTGGGGAAAGACATTTGGGATTTGGCCACTGAATTGATTAAATTGAAGATTCAAAAGAGTTAGACTGGGAAAGGTGAAGAGGGAGGAGGGAATTGAACCGTTGAGATAAATGTTATGTGAGAGATCAAGGACAGTAAGATGCGTAAAGTTGGAGAAAGAGACAGGGATTGATCCCTCAAAATAATTATATGAAAGATCCAATACAGTGAGAGAAGCAGCACTGCAACTCAAGCTGGGAAGATGCTGACCATTGAGACTGTAACTATTATCTGACAAGTGCAATTGTTCAAGTTTTGGTAAGCACAAGATGTCACTTTTCAAGTTTCCCCATACTCCAGTTCTACTGAGACTAAGACTAACTAAAGTGGTAGACTGATTGAGTGGCCTCATTGAACTTTGAGTCATATCTATATCATCCAAAATTAGCTCTTTTAAAAATGTTGTATTTTGGAGAAACTTCTTCCAACTTCTTTCTTTCCACCTTAACCAGAAATTACGAGAGAGATCAAGTGATTCTAATTTAGAAAGTTGTGAGATTTGAGAAGGAATTTCACCTTCAAAGATACAAGAAGACAAATTAAGGTGTGTGAGACTCACAAATCCACCAAAGAGATATGAAAGTTGAAAGTAGAATTTATTGAAAGCAAGATTAAGGGATTGGAGATAAGAAAGGTAGAAAAAGGTAATGTTCGGAAGGATTTCACCGAAAAGATCACTGCATGAAACATCAAGGCCTATGACACGACCAGAAATGGGGTGACATGTAACCCCAACCCATGAGCAACAATCTGTCTCATTTTTCCATGTTGTTGTCTTTGGATCCATAT